CGTCTAATGTTGCATACTCGACACAGACGTGACAGTCTGACATGGCAGGTGGCCATCATCACTCCGGTGATTCATTATTGCATCTTGGCGACAGTCGTCTATGATAGCTACAGTGTTTCGACTTGCCATTCTGCCGTCTTAGTCGCACTACCCGTTCTTCAATCGGGATTCTAAACCATGCGACCGTGACAGGCATGGGTGGCCTGGAGATTGACACCGACTCTGCTTGCGTGGACGCATCCGGCAAGGCCATCCCAGGCCTCTACGCTGCTGGCGAGGTGGCCGGCGGCGTGCACGGCAATAACCGCCTGGGTGGCAACTCCCTGCTGGACTGCGTGGTCTTCGGCCGCGTGGCCGGAAAGGCCGCTGCCAAGTACATGCTCGGCGACAAGACCAAGAGCATGGACTTGAAGGAGCTCTCCGGTGGAGGCCTGGCAGCAGACAAGGAGGCACCAGCATCCAAGCTTTAGGCCTTCTTCGCCAATGCTTCACGCACAAGCCCAAACCCGATCCTCGGGATCGTCACTTTTGAAGGGCCAAGCGACGAAGTCCGGGGAAGCAATTCCGAGACACCATGTTAATAGCAGCTTTTCACACTGGGGACCGCAGCCAGTCATCTGCCCCCGATTTTCATGCCTCGCTTGGCTTAGTTCCTCGAGAGTGCCAGTCATGTTATACAAACTGTATTCACAGCGTCTTGTATCTGCTGACTTCGCTCTTGGGAACTTGGCGGTCCGAGAGCATCCTCTCGTGCAGGAGTTGTCACGTGACCTCCAGTGTTTTCGAGAGCTTGAGCCATGTTGTACCCAGATCACCCACAATGGGCCGTAAAGGGAATCGGGACTGCGACAGATCAGGATTGCATCGCAACTGCTGCGGTCTTGCAGGCTCTTCCTCGCAGCTGTGCTTCCCGCAGCCGTCTTTGCTCGGAGGGCTCAGCTCCCTACATTCGCATCGCAGAATGGCGCAAGCTATTGTGCTGAGCTCAGCACTTGCTGCTCCGCTCGGCCGCTCGGCCGCTGTGAGCCGAGCCTGTTGGCGAGGTTGTCGGTGGTGGCCTCGCTGGCGTGTCAGCGGCCAACAGCGTTCTGGAGTGCGGCGGCAAGGCGCGGGGAGGGTGGCTGAAGAGTTCGGACGACCTTTGCTTAGACAAGCCGTACTTCACGTTTTCTTGATACTAGTATGGCTTCTGGATGCTTCTGGCTTCAATAGATTCAATAGGGTTTCGATATAGCGGCCCGGTTTCGACACACCTTGAGACAGGCTCTCCTGTGCGACCTTGCATATGGTTTGGTGAGTTAGGTGCACGCCCTTGAATGCAATTTCCAGCGTAGCCCAGCATAAACCTTCTGATACAGGGTTCAATACGATCATGCATGTCCATGAGTTTGCACGATTAAATGCAGCTTCGGATACGTGGTCGGAACGGTTTGCAGACAGGTCAGGACATGATTCGCGTCAGGTTGCGCCCCTTTGTGGAACTTTTTGTGTTTGGAGCGGGGCTCGGTCCTCGCCAAGGCAAAAGTACTGATTCGGAAGCGGGCCCGTGAGGTATTCGGTCAGCGTACCCGGACCGTAAACCGCAAAATAACACACTGGAGAAGTCCGGGTTCTGGCTGAACCGGAAATTGTTGGATCTGGCGAGCTTCATTTCCCAGTCTTCTCGAGTGAAACTCTGGCAACTGCCTGATCGAGTTGAGCTGGCTTCTGTTGAGCGGATGCAGTTTCGCTCAGTGGCTACAGTATGCTACGGTAACCACATTGCCACATGGCTGCAGATCTACCCCGAGCGGGACCTCGCCTAAACACGCCTTGCCAGGTGGTGCTGGTGGACAAGTCCGCC